TCTCCTCCTTTAAGATGCCATTTATAATCCTCCTCTGGTCACATGTTCTTAATACTTCCTTCTGTAGTGTGATGTTAATCTTGTAACCCTGAATCATTGAGTACTCCTCACACTCCAATGAAGCATCTGGGAACATTTGTACACATTTAAGATTCTGGTTAAATAGAATCATAGAATTATACAGCAAGGAAACAGATCCTTCGGTCCAATTTATCCATGCCGACTAAATATCCTAAATTAATCCAGTCCCATTTGCCCCATATCCCTCTAAACCCTTTCTATTCATGTCCCCATCCAGATGCCTTTTAAATGTTGTAATTGTACTAGCCTCCACCACTTCCTCTGGCAGCTCATTCCATACATGCACCACCCTCTGCGTGAAAATGTTGCCCCTTAGGCCCCTTTAAAACTTTCCCCTCTCACCTTAAACCTTTGCCCTCTAGTTTTGAACTCCCCTACCCTGGGTGTAAAATCCTTGGTTATTCAGGAACAAAAACAGAAGTTGCTGGAAAAGCTCAGCAGGTCTGGCAGCATCTATGAAGGAGAAAACAGAGTTAATGTTTCAGGTCCAGTGACACTTCCTCAGGCCCTCCCTTGGTTATTCACCCTATCCATGTGCCTCATGATTTTAGAAACCTCTATAAGGTCACCCGTCAGCCTCCTATCCTCCAGTGAGAAAAGCCCCAGCCTCTCCTTATAACTCAAACCCTCAAGTCGCCTCAACAGCCTGGTAAACTTTTTCTGCACCGTTTCTAGTTTAACAACATCCTTCCCGTAGCAGGGAGACCAGAATTGTCTGCAGTATTCCAAACATGGCCTTACCAATGTCTTGTACAGGCACAGTATGACATCCCCATTCCTATACTTGATGCTCTGACCAAAGAAGACAAGAGTACCAAACACCTTCTTTACCACCCTGTCTATCCACGACTGCACTTTCAAGGAACTATGAACATGCACCCAGAGAGCCCTCTGTTCAACAACACTCCCCAGGGCTCTACCATTAACTGTGTAACTCCTGCTCTGGTTTGCCTTTCCGAAATGCAACACCTTGCATTCATCTGCATTAAACTCCATCTGCCACTTTTTGGCCCATTGCCACATCTGATCAAGGTCCCATTTTACTCTTAGATAACCCAGTTCCCTGTCCATTATACCATGAATTTTGGTGACATTCACAAACTTACTAACCATACCCCTTATATTCTCATCCACAAATCGTTTACATAAATGGCAAACAACAGTGGACCCAGATAAATCCTTGCGGCACACTGCTGGTCACAGGCCTCCTGTTCGATAAACAACCCTCCACCATCACCCAGCATCAGACGAACAGGAAATCTGAAATGGGGGAGGGGGAAGGGAGCTGGGAAATAAATAGAGAGAGGAGGGGTGGGGCTGGGGAAGGTATGTGGGATGGTGATATGTGAGTGCAGGTAGGGAGCGGTTGGGATTGGTCAGTGGGATGGGTGGGGTGGATAGGTGGGAGAGAAGATGGACAGGTTGTGTCTGGTCAAGGAGGTGGGGAATGAGAGGGAGGGTTGGCCATGGGATGAGGCTGGGGGTGGGGAGATTTTAAAACTGGTAAAATCCACATTTAGGCCATTGGGCTGTAGGCTCCCAAGGCGGAATATGAGATGCTGCTCCTCCAGTTTGTGGGTGGTGTCATTGTGACACTGGAGGAGGCCCAGGATGGACATGTCACTCAGGGAATGGGAGGGGGAGTTAAAATGGTTCGCGACCGAAGGTGTTGTTGTTTGTTGCGAACAGAGTGCAGATGCTCTACGAAACGGTCTCTGAGTCTACACTTGGTCTCACTGACGTAGAGGAGGCCACACATCGGGAACAGCGGATACAGTAGACCAAGTTGGAGGATGTGCAGGTGAACCCCTGTCAGATATGAAAGGTTTGCTTTGGGCCTTGAATGGAGGTTGGGGGGCACGGGTATAGGGGCAGGTGTAGCACTTCCTGCGGTTACAAGGAAAGGTGTGGTGGGGTCAGTGGGGATGTGGAGCGGATGAGGGAGTCGCTCAGAGAATGGTCCCTACAAAAGGCACATCGGGGTGGGGAGGGAAATATCTCTGTGCTGTGCTCCGAGCAGACTGGTCATTCCATATTGTTCTGGCATGTTCTCAGAGCTGGACCAGAGTCAGTGACAGTGTTGGATTTATTGGGAAAAGCGTACAGAAATATGGTGAGTGAGTGAGAGTCTGAGGGAGCGTGCGTGCTGGCGAGTGTGTCGGGGGTTTGGGTGTGACAGTGTGAACTTTGTCCGACCTTCCTCGTGCTGCAGCGCACGGTCACTCAGAGCCGAACTCATTCCCCCACATTTTTCCAGAGAGGACAAGCTGGCCCAGTCGTATGGAACAGGACCAGTTGGGCCTCTGATGGAATTGAAGCGAGGTAACTGTTTCTTCTTCATTCTCATTGCCTTGTTATTGATCAGACCCTGCCCCTCCTGTTGCTGCAACATTTCAATCAGGCGAGAATTCATGTCACTTGTTGGAGCTGATCATTTCTATGATCTCTCGGCTTTGAAATATCACCTTAACATCAAAACCATCTCATACTGTACCAACACAATGACCTACTTTTGTAGGCTAATGGAGACAAAAATAAAAACATCTCTTTGATTTTGAAATGTCTTTATTGGAACTACAGAATTATTTTAAACAGCTAAAATTAAACCGAGTCCTGAAGATCAAACTTATGCGAAATCGTTCACATCAATAAATGATCTCAGGATTAAAGGGTTAGGACCGAGATGAGTGGGAATGTCTTCACTCAGAGGTTGGTGAATCTCAGGAATTCTCTATCCTGGAGAGCTCGGACAGAGATTGATCGATTTCTAGATCCTAAAGATGTCGAGAGATATGGGGATGGGTCAGGAAGGTCAGTCATGATCCTATTGAGAAGGTTTGAAGGGCCAAATGGCCTTTCCCATTATGATGTCCTGGTTCATCCAAGTCCCTACTTCCTGTGTCCTAAGTAGCACCAATACACCCCACATTCTTGAGTTCATCAATCTATACTGACTCCAGGTTAGGAGCTGCCTCAACCTTTAAAATGTTTATCCTCGCTTTCAATTATCTGGGTCACCTCCATGTTTTTCTGTTGTGTTTTTTTTTACAGCTGGCCATTCAATCTCCCCTCGTGCGATGGGATGCCCCTGGACGTGGGTCATGCAACACAACCTTCCAAAAGTAGACTTTGGTGCCTTCGACAGTGATTGGTAAATTTCAAAGCGTTGCTCGCATCATGGAGACTGATCAATTGACTTTGGCCAGTCACTGATTCAACCTGTTGTCCCGAGCCACTTCATAAAACATAATAATTCAGCATCGCAACTCTCAATCAGCTGAGAGATAGCACTGCCTTGTGTTCATGGGTGTTCTCTGAAAACAGGTACACTATCATAGGTTTTAATCAGGACAGATGGCAAGAATACCAAATTCTTAAGGGATTAACAAGTCATGCAGCGTCAGAAACTGGGTGCTCATGGGTCGGCAAGTGGTGTCTGATTTGGCTGATGCATTGCCTTGGAAAAGTTATCCCAAACCTTTCATGCAAATTTCGTAGAAAAGGCAGGTCAACCATGATTGGTCGAGTCATGTCAAGGGGGACCATGCCAGGGAACAGTGTCCACCAAGCTTTTGTTCAATTGGAAAGACACAATTGCCTGCAGAGGACTGGGCCCTGACTATGAATCTGTAGTCTCCAGTTAAGTGAGCCACATTGCAAGCCCCTCTCATAATCATAAATGAGTTGCCAATGTAGTTCTTGGCACAGTTAGGATTGTTCAATAAGTGTGTTCAATTCACAGAGTCACATTTAGTGTTGGACACAACAGTCTGTGTGCAGTCAGCTCTCAGCATCTTGTAAACAGCTGAAGGGAACCTACTGTTTGACTTGCTTTTCACACCCAGAGAGGGAAACTGTTTCAAGACAAGGATCTATTAACTGCTTGAGTTGAGATATAAAGTCTTAGGAATCAGGAGCAGGAGTAGGCTATTTGGCCCATCGAGCCTTCAATAAGATCATGGCTGATCTTTCTCTTGGACTTAGCTCCACTTACCTACCCTCTCACCATAACCTTAATCCCCTCACTCTTCAAAAATCTATCTTTGCCTTAAAAACATTCAACGAGGAAGCCTCAACTGCTTCACTGGGCAGGGAATTCCACAGATTCACAACCCTTTGGGTGAATAAGTTTCTCCCCAGCTCAGTCCTAAATCTGCTCCTCCTTATTTTTAGGCTACGCCCCCTGGTTCTAGTTTCACCCTCCAGTAGAAACAACCTCCCTGCTTCTATCTTGTCCATTCCCTTCATCATTTTATATGTTTCTATAATATCCCTCCTCATTCTTCTAAATTCCAATGAGTACAGTCCCAGTATATTCAATGTCTCCTCATAAGCCTCCCAATTCCTGAATCAACCGAGTGAACCTCCTCTGCACCCCCTCCAGTGCCAGTACATCCTTTCTC